GACAGCAGAGCGCCCACGGAATATACGGCAGGCCCCCGCGGGGGCAGCCCTTGCCCGTGGCCCAGGCGCCAACGGGGCCTTCTACGCTCGAGCCTCTGTCCTGCGCCACAGGCAAGGTGGGCGCGCGCGGGCCGACCGCCACGCGGGAATCAAAGCTGGCTCGCGCTGGGAGTTCCTCTCCGCTGGGGCCGCCGGGGCCGCCTCTCGGGGGCGGAAGCCCTCGCCGCGCCTCTCCGCCCCGGCCTGGGAGCCCTCGGCTCCTTCCGGTGAGATGTCGCGCCTGCTGCGCGCGACCGCGAGCCCAGACCCCCTCGCGTCGTGAAAAAATCACGACGGGAAGTTTTTCATTATTTTTGGCCTCTGGGGGCCCCTACCGGCCCTCGGGACCGTCAAAAAACGACTCAGGACGAAAAACCGGCCCCGGGGAATGGGTCGAGACCTCGGGGGGTCGACGTCATGAAAAAATCATGACGTCGGGGGTCTGGGAGCGACGCCGCTTGCTTCGAGCGAGTCGACGCGGGGCTTGCTTCTGAGGCCGGGCGGGGCGAGGCCGCCGCGGGCCGCGCCTGCCGCCCTCGTCTCGGCCGGAGGGGCCGCCGCTGCAGCTGCCTCCCCGCTCCGCGGGCGCCTCTCCTCCCGTCGCGGAGCCGTGGGCCCGGCGCCGCGGGGCCGAGGGCGGCCCGCTCCGCCGGCCTCTGCGCCGCCTCTGCGGCCCTCCTCCTGGGCCGGCCTGCCGGGGTTGCTCCTGGAGCAGCAAGTCGGGCGGAGCTCGCCGCTGGGGCCCTTCTGCCACCCCCAGCGGAATGCCGCATCTGCCGAGCGCGACTGCGGGTGACCGCCCTGCCCGCAGAGGTATTTCATTGAAACTGAAAACTCGAGGGTTAAGAATATATGTTATGTGAAATATTACTGAACAACAGTCCAAATTGCAGTAATATCACTTACACTACCACTTACATTATTTAAATTAACCTATATTTCATATTTCATATACAACAGTATTGGTTCCATCAAAACCAATATATGGACCTGTCGGACTGGGTGTTGAACGTTGAAGCTGAAGCTGCAGCCGCGGTGCTTGCTGGTCTGCCGGCCTCGCCAGTGGCTGCCGTCGCCGCAACCGCTACCGCTGCCCCGGCTGGCCTGGGCCTGGGCCTGGAGTCGGCCCCCCCTGTGCCGCGCCCAAGGCTGCGGGGCGTCTCGGGGTCGGGCTCCTCCGGCTTGATTTTCGCGGCGCGGTCGATGCGCGCGCTGGCGCCGGCGCCGATGTCGGGGGGGCCGCCGCGCCGACGACGCCGGGCGCCGGCGACGCGACGGCGCCGGCATCTCAGCCGTTCGCACTGCTCCCGCCACCGCCGATCCCCCCGAGCACCCTCCTCGTCTGGGAGCCCCATCACGGCGTCGATATCGATATGAGCGCCGCGCGCCCGCGATCACTCCTGCCCCGCGCGGTCTGGCACATGTCTCCGGCCAGCCGCCCGAGGAGCGGCGAGCGCTCGTCGTCGCCCGCCCCCTGGAAGACGCGGTCCAAGGGCGGCAGCTGTGTTGGGCGCAGACGTGGGAGATTCACCGCTGCCCCCAATGCTGCCGCGCGCTCGCGCACTCGTCGTCGCGCGGGAAGCGCGGCGCCCAGCTGGCGACGAGCTTCGGGGCAACCTCCCGCAGGATGGCGCGGTCGCGCTCGTGCCTCCCCGACGGCGCGGCCGCAGATTGGCGCCATGCGTCGTCGCCGACCTCCAGCGCAATGGCCTGCCGCGTCGCCTCCCGGGACCAGGCGCGGCCCGCCGCCTGCCTCTCGACGACGTGGCCGGTAATGGAGTGCTGCGCGAAATTGCAGACGCGCGTTCCGCGCCAATCCCGCGGGCCCTTCCTGGCCGCGCCCGCGCCCTGCATCAAGGTGGCGGGGTGCCGCCATGCCGCGGCCAGTCTCCGCGGCGATCGCTAGATTTGCACATCTTCTTGGCGCCCTGCTTGCCCGATGCGAGGCTCCTCCTCGTCGCTCGCGTCGGCTGCCGCAGTGGCCCCCTTTGGCTTCGCGCCCGAGGTCTGGCGCCTGAGGCCCCTTGATCTCTCGGGCCTGGTGTGCTAAGCTAGCGATCTCGAGGAGCGCGCATCGCGGGCACCCCAGACCCCCGACGTCATGATTTTTTCATGACGTCGACCCCCCGAGGTCTCGACCCATTCCCCGGGACCGGTTTTTCGTCCTGAGTCGTTTTTTGAGGGTCCCGAGGGCCGGTAAGTGCACCCAAAAGCAAAAAATAGTGAAAAACCTTCCGTCGTGATTTTTTCAAAACTCGAGGGGGTCTGGGACCGTGGCGGATGGCGCCCGAGCTCCCCTGGGCAATGGCAAAACTCTACTGCGACCGAGCCACGCGGCACTGAAAGCGGCGGCGCCCGCGCGGCCGGCAGGACGAGGCGCGGCCGCTGCGAGAGCACGGCCATGGGCGGGGCGCGCCAGCCGATCCAACCGTCGGCGCGGCGCCGGATTGCACCTTCGAGCCACTCCGCCGCGTGGCGGATGTCCAAGAACTCCACGTGCGCGTTCCCAGACCCCCTCGAGTTATGAAAAAATCACGACGGGAGGTTTTTCTTTATTTTTGGGCTTTGGGGGCCCTTACTGGCCCTCGGGACCGTCAAAAAACGACTCAGGACGAAAAACCGGTCCCGGGGAATGGGTCGAGACCTCGGGGGGTCGACGTCATGAAAAAATCATGACGTCGGGGGTCTGGGTTGAGCGCTGGCACCAGGGTGCCATGGCGGGGGGGCTTGCCCTTGCGCCTCCGCGCTGGCGGCCTCGGCGCATGCGCCTCCGCGCGCGTGCCGGTGCCCGGTTCGCCCCGCAGGTTCCATTGCCCGAGTGCCTCCCGAGATCGTCGCGCTTTTGGCCTTGGAGAGGCACTTCTGGCCGCGCCGGCGCCCCTGGCCTGGGCCCCTCCCCCCAGTTGTCGATGAGGCCACGGCGGAGGGAGGAGCGAGGAGGGAGGAGGGAGGAGGGAGGAGGGAGGAGGGAGGGAGATCTGGGCCTGTGGCCCTCGAGGTACAAGCTCTGCTTCTCCTGGCGGTGGCAGGGCCCTGCTTCTGGACATGGCATGCCCATAGCTGCCCTGGACCTGGAGAACTGGCAGCGTACAACCCAGACCCCCTCGAGTTATGAAAAAATCACGACGGGAGGTTTTTCATTATTTGTGGCCTCTGGGGGCCCCTACCGGCCCTCGGGACCGCCAAAAAACGACTCGGGACGAAAAACCGGTCCCGGGGAATGGGTCGAGACCTCGGGGGGTCGACGTCATGAAAAAATCACGACGTCGGGGGTCTGGGGACCTGGAGAACTGGCAGCGTACAAGCCCGCGTCCTGGTCGGGTCCCGGCTCCTTGTCCCTGGCTTGCTTCGCCAAGTCCCGGTCGATCTGCCCTTCGATCCGGTCGACGTGGCCGGGCTGGGGGTCGGCGTTGGCGTTGACCTTCGCAACGCCCGTTGCCGCTGCCGCTAGACCTTCTGCCTCTTGGCTGCTGCTGACAGGATGACCGCGAGGCGTTTTTCCCCGTCCTCCAGCGTTTTTCCTGGCGGCCCTTCGGCTGCGAGGTCGTCCAGCAAGCCTGGGTCGTCCCAATTTGGCCCAGGCTAAAAGGAGTTGCGCCTCCGCCTCCGTCGCCTAAGCCGTGGGCCGGCGCGCCGCCGGCCCCGTCGGCAACCCCCTCCAATACTGCGTCGGTTTTCTTCTCGGAGGGTGGCGAAGAGCGCCGCTCAGGCCGCGTCGACCTTGGCGTTGTGGCTTCGACGGCCGCCGTGAGTCCTTCCAGACCTGTTCCTCCGAGCGCTGACCCGTTTGCCTTCTTGATGTTGGCCTCTGTCTCGATTTGGTCCACTATCTGGGACTGCTGCTTCGACAGGTCGCCGAACTTGCGGACGTGTTTGTCCGCCTGTTGCCGAGGAAACCACAGCGGCACGGCCAGTGCGGCGTCCGCGGTCGTCGTCGCATCGCGTACTCTGCTTCTGGAGGCGGTCCTATGCTCATGAATATGGAATGCCAGGGCAAGCCCTGGACTTGAAACAATCGAGAACTGGCCGCGGACCAACGGCATCCGTGGAAACACCTGGAAGAGTGAGCAGATTGAGTCAAAATTGGTACGGAAGTAGATGGTAGAGTAGAATTGGGCATAATCGAATATGGTAAAATTGAATAGAGTTCACCCACTCCAATCTAGTCTGTCCTAGTCCAGTCTACTTCAGTCCACTCAAGTCCATCGCGTTCCATGCGCCAGACTTCTCATCAATTTGGAATCTGCGCTAGCTGATATTTGTCCTCCCAGACCTGGGGTGCCGCATCGATGCCAACACTGACATGTGGGGGGTGGGAGTTACGCGTCGCTGTGGCGTGACAATCTAGGTACTCACGAAAGTTATTCATCTTGGGCACGGGCGAATGCGGCAACGCCGAGAGGCCCCATTCCCCCGAATAATCCTAGCACGACCGCTTTCGGCATGGCCGGGTGGGATTTTCCAGGGTTCACTCCGGTCCCGATAACATGACTGAACCCAGATCGTTAAAATAAGATCGATCCCCCTACGCATCCCCTGGGGGGAACTCACTCCTGGCCAACTGGGACGTAACGTGTATTACTTCGTCTTCCCACCGTCGCGCCGCCCCCGCGCTGTGCGCAGGCGAGTCTCCCTCGGCGGTGGACAAACCTCCCTTTAGTAAACCTCCCCCTAGTGAAAACGGCCTGGGGCCGAGACCGACGGACACGGACCCGCAAAAATGACGGCCGCGACGCCCTCTCGCGAACCGAAAACGGCCGATTCTCTAATCGACGTGTCAGGGTAGGAGGTCTGTCCACCCCAGAAAGGGGCCCACCCCCCCTCCTCCCTCCTCCCTCCTCCCTCCTCCCTCCTCCTCCCTCCTCCCACTCCTCCTCCTCCCCCTCCTCCCTCCTCCTCCTCCTCCTCCTCCTCCTCCTCCTCCTCCTCCCTCCTCCTCCCTCCCCCCCCTCCCCACGAGCCTCCGCTCTCTCCGCTGCCGCCGCCGCCTCCCAGCTGCACGCGGGAGCGGCCCTGCCAACGAGAGGGACCTCTGGCGCGCGGCCTGCCGATCGTTGCGCGGCCATCGTCTGACAGTCATCGGCCTGACCTAAGGAAGGATACCTAAGTGGGGGAGACGTAAGACCCGGGTACGAGTTGAAAGGTTCCCATAAGTTGAAAGAAACGAGGACATAAGGAACCCTAAATAGGGAACCCGAAATAAGGAACGAGGCCCCTTTTTACCATAAGTTGAACTTCGATGTCCCATCGAAAACCTGAGGAAAACCTGAGGCAAGCTGCGAAACACTTCAGGAGCGCGGAGCCCCTCCCCAACGAAGAGGGTTCCTTCTTCAGTCGGGGAGACGTAAGACCTGGGTACGGGGGACTCGGAAATCCCCGACGAGGTCGTCAAAAAAATGACGAGGCCGAGCCTGCATTTTGACGAGGCCTCCCGCTGCAGACATCCCACAGAACTCCTCCTCGTCAAAATCCGAGTCGCGGTCGTCAAAAATCGATGGCGAACCCGAGTCCTGGCAAACCCGGGTCTTACGCTCCCCCGAATAAGGAACGAAGCCCCTTTCCTCCGAGGAAGAACGCAGAGGGAACGACGAGCAGATAAAACATAACGCATAGGGAACGATGATAACGCATGCAAGCCTGAGGAACGACCGAGCCCCTTTTGAAAAGCAAGTGTTCCTCATTCAAGCCGCTTACTGTACCACTCCGAGACGTGCTCGCGCCGTGAAGCAGTCGCGACGGTAAAAAGGGGGCGATTTCCGGCCTCTGGGTGCCCCCGCCAGGCCTCGGGACAGTCAGAACACGACTCGGGGTGAAGACCTGGTGCCCTGGGGGAATCGACTACACGCAAGAGTGACCCTGGGTAAGAATGACCTTTGGTGCGCGGCTTTTTGGGGGGCCGCGGGGGGACCAAACTCAGGCGCGCAGGACGCAACTGTCGCACCGCAATCGGTGATCGGGGGAGCCCATTGTGCCCGCACCCAAAGGTCACTCCGGCGAAAGGTCACTCTTACGTGTAGCCGAGGGATGAAGAACTGGTGCCCTCGGTGAAGGCTCGGGATGAAGAACTGGTGCCCTGGGGGATAGGGAGCCCACAAAGGACGCACGCGCCCAACTACGTACATGAGCACGGCCCCTCGATCCGCGAGACCCGCCGCGTGTTACAAACATTCGCGCAGTGCGTACTGCCGAAACCAGCGTGGATTCATGTACGTGTACGTCCTTCTTTCGCTCCTGAGGGGAAGGCTCGGGACTTCCGGGGACCGCGTATCGAGTACAGTCGGGGCGTTGACCTAAGGAACCCGAAATAAGGAACGAGGCCCCTTGTTTCCCATAAGTTAAACTTCGACTTCCCATCGAAAACCTGAGGAAAACCTGAGGCAAGCTGTGAAACACTTAAGGAACGCGGAGCCCCTCCCCAACCAAAAGGGTTCCTTCTTCAGGGCCCCAACTGTATCAAACATATCGCACATCGCACGCCTGGGCTAAGGAGCGCCGGAGGTGGTGTGAAGAGGCCTGCCTGGCCACAGCGGGCCTCGGCCAGGAACAAGCGACACGACTCGAGAGGCCTGGAACCCAGAGCCCCTCCTGAGCCAAAAGTGAGCGTTGTACGCGCCCTCCGCGACCCCCGAGATCCGCGTACCTGAAGGCACTCCGGCTAACGGCCCGGAGGCTAGGGCTATGATCCGAAACAGCCGGCATGGCGGCTGTCCGGGACGATCCGGGGAATGAAGAATCTTCTCGCTGAGATCTGGGTCCCTGGTGGTTCTCTGGCCACGCGTCGGGCCTCGGGTGGCGGTTCGGGGCGATCTGGGCAGCTCCGGAACGCCCTCGGCAGGGCGCAGCCGCTGAAAACCACGCCGAGGCCGGAAGACCGCCGAGAACCGACGAGCACGTCCGAGAAGCGCTCGAGCACGCCCGAGGACCGAGAGCCGGAGGAGGAAGGGAGGAGGAGGGGGAGGAGGGGGAAGGAGGAGGAGGAGGAGGAGGAGGAGGCGGAGGAGGAGGAGGAGGAGGAGGAGGAGGAGGAGGCGGAGGAGGAGGAGGAGGAGGAGGGGGACGGCCGAAAACGCCCGGCCGCAAACGGTCGCCCTGGCAGCTCACGACAGGGCACGACCAGAGCCCTAGAATCAGGTCGGGCCTGTCCCCCTACAGGGGGATTCTGGACGAGAAATAAAAAAGATGCAAGAAATGCTCAAAAAATGCCCCAATATATTCAAAAAAGAGTCCCCTGACTATTTTTTGACTATTTTTGAATATTCCCCCTGTAGAGGGACAGGCCCGACTTAACCCTAGAACTCACCTTTCTGCGGCATTTTTCGAGTCAGGTCGACCTGTGATTGCCCCGGGGCCCGAAACTGAACCAAAACGCCCGGTGTGAAGACATTGCAACGCCCGGATCTCAGGGCCTGAGGTTGCCCCCTGGTTTTCGGGCCCTAGGAGTCGGGGCGTTGACCCAAGGAACCCCAAATAAGGAACGAGGCCCCTTTTTTTCCCATAAGTTGAACTTAGATTTCCCATCGAAAACATAAGGAACACCTCAGGCAAGCTGTGCAACACGAAAGAAACACGGAGCCCCTCCCCAACGAAAAGGGTTCCTTCATCAGCGGCCCGACTGTAACTCGGGCATGCGGCGGCCGTTCAGACGGTCCAGGCCCTCCTGGAACGCCCTCGGCGAGACGCAGCCGCCGAAGAGCACTCCGAGGCTGGACAACCGCTACCGACCAACCAACTACAACGCCCGAAAGCCTCGAAGATAAAGTTCATGGGAACGGAAGCACCCTTAGGAGTCCCAAAACGGTGCGGTGACAGACCGTGCGGTGACCTCACGGTCCGTCACCGCACGATTTGGGGACCCTGGAGGTCCCTATCGCCCGAGACATCCTCGGAGAGGGACTCGAGTCCCAAAACCGTGCGGTGACCCCGAATCCCCACCGACTGACCGCACGGTGTGGTCACCACACCGTTTGGGGGCCCCCGACGCCCAGATCTTGGAGAAGGGCGCCCGGAATCGGGGGCGACTGTAGGGGCGAATAACCCCAGGGGAGAACAATACCTGCATCCAGCGGCGCCGATGGTCCAAATCTTTGGCGAGGCTTCCGGGCGAATTCGTGTAATGCCCGCCCCTGGCCTATTCGCCCCCATCGTCGCCTGCGACGAAAACGCTCGACCGCTACACGCAAGAGTGACCCTAGGCCTAACTCGGGCGTGTCCCCTATAAGGGGATTTTCGACGACAAATAAAACATACTCTAAACAAACAAAAAAAACAAAAAATGCAGAATACCCCAAATAGCGAAAAATTGCTTTTAAAATAATGCCCAGACTATTTTCTTGCCATGTTTGAGTTTTCCTCCAGTAGAGGGATAGGCCCGACTTAACCCTAGGCAAACATGACCTTCGGTGCGCGGCTTGACGGAGAGCACGGGGTGGCCGAACCCGGGCGCGCAAGCCGCTGCCACCGCTTCGCGCTCAGCGACTGGGGGGCCCCGTCGGGCCCGCAGCACAGGTCACTCTGGCGATTCCCTTTTTCGGCGGTGGACAAACCTCCCTTTAGTAAACCTCCCCTTAATGAAAAGCGCCTGGGACCGCAACCGACGGACCTGGACCCGCAAAAACGACGGCCGCGACGCCCCCTCGCGAACCGAAAAACGGCCAATTCCTTAATCGACGTGTCAGGGTAGGAGGTCTGTCCAACCCCGATTTTTTGGGGGCGAGAGGTCACTCTTACGCCTACAGCCGAAAATTTGATTCACCAGGGAATCCGCTGGCCCCCCTGTGGGGCCACCAGGCTGTAGGCCGGAGGTTCGCACGTTCCTGTGCCGGTGGCAGCTTCCAGTTTCCACCGTTACAGTTCTGCTTCTTGCTGCTTACTGTTCCTTGTTGACTTCTTGCTGCTTACTTCTCCTTGTTCCCAGACCCCCTCGAGTAATGAAAAAATCATGACGGGAGGTTTTTCCTAACTTTCGGCCTCCGGGGGCCCTCGCCGGGCCTCGGGAGCGTCAAAAAACGACTCGGGATGCAAAGCCGGTCATGGGGAAAGGGTCGGGACCTCTGGGGGTCGACGTAATGAAAAAATCATTACGTCGGGGGTCTGGGTTGATGGACCGCGCGAGGGGGGGGAGCCCAAAACGGGTATTTTTACCACGCCCAAATCGTACTGTCTGAATTGCTGGGGTGGGTAAAAACTTTTCACCCCTCACGCAGATCGGCGGGGTCAGGGTCCAAAAGCACAGGGGATTTGCTACATTTCTGAGATTCGGTGGCACCCCTCACGCAGATCGGCGGGGTCAGGGTCCAAAAAGATTTGCAACATTTCTGAAATTCGGAAGCACCCCTCATGCAAATCGGCGGGGTCAGGGAACAAAAACACACGGGATTTGCCACATTTCTGAAATTCGGTGGCACCCCTCACCCAGATCGGCGGGGTCAGGGTCCAAAAACACAAAGGATGTGCCACATTTCTGAAATTCGGTGGCACCCCTCACGCAGATCGGCGAGGTCAGGGACCAAACATTGAAAGGATTTGCCACATTTCTGAAATTCGGCGGCACCCCTCACGCAGATCGGCGGGGTCAGGGTGCAAAAACACACGAGATGTGCCACATTTCTGAAATTCGGTGGCACCCCTCACGTAGATCGGTGGGTTCGGGGTCCAAAAACACAAAGGATTTGCTACATTTCTGAAATCCGGAAGCACCCCTCATGCAAATCGGCGGGGTCAGGGAACAAAAACACACGGGATTTGCCACATTTCTGAAATTCGGCTGCACCCCAACCACAAAGGATTTGCAACATTTCTGAAGTTCGGCGGCACCCCTCATGCAGATCCACAGGGTCAGGGTCCTAAAACAGAAGGGATTCGCCACAGTTCTGAAATTCGGCGGCACCCCTTTCGCAGATCGGCAGGGTCAGGGAACAAAAACACAAAGGATTTACCAAATTTCTGAAATTCGGCGGCACCCCTCACGCAGATCTGTAGGGTCAGGATCGAAAAACAATCAGGTCCCGACATTGCTTCACGGCGA